TGCCAGTGCCCTACCCCTTTGAGCTATAGGTGCTGCCCTAATAAACACTTAACAACAATTTTTAAAGACCACTTATGACAGATAGCTCTAAGCATGTAGAAGGACATCAAAATGCATTTTGGCTTCTGCTTGCAAGCAAAAGATAATAAACAAGATGAAAATGTCAAAAATGTACTGGGGAGAGGGAGCACCTCTATTATCAAACTAACGGAAAACAAAAGTTGCCTCTGTGCTCCACGAAACCTGAACTACGAGCCTCTCCACACTGTTGCTGGTTCTACAAGCTGCCACTACGTAGAGTTAACAGGCCACCTTAATCTTATCTAAAATGCCTGGAGGACATTATGTTAAATGAAATAAGCCAGATAGGATCTCACTTATATGTGGAATCTAAAGAAAGTTGAACTCATGGAACTAGAAATATCAGAAGTCTGGGGAATGGGAGGAAGAGTACAGGGAGATGTTGGTCAAGGGGTACAAAATTTCACTTGGAATAAATTTAGGAGATCGATTGTACATCATGGTGACTAATGAAAATTGCCAAGAAAGTGGATTTTGACTGTTTTCAGCACAAAACACAAGGATGTGAGGTAACAGATATGTGAGCTTGTTTTAATTATCCCACTAGATTTACACATTTCAAAGGTCATGGCCCCTTTTAACAATGAAATACATTGTGGCATAAGGAAGGTTGAAAACCAATGTGTTACATGCTATGAATATAAATACTTTTTGTCATTTAAAAATAAATAAAACTCTAATATGTTAATTTTACTCAGTTGCTCAAAAACTTGTCAGTAGTCCAGGAAGTACTTAAAGCTGGTCACCAGCTTCCTTAGAGATTCAAGAAACCGTTTAGTCTTAAGGGGTTTATATCCTGAGATCACCCCCGAGATTCACACACTTCTACCTGGTAAACACGCCTTCCACTAGGTGATGAGATTAAGGTGACAGACCGTCGATCAACAAGGTCCAAGGCCTGGATGGCTGATGAGCCAAAGACAAACTTCAGCCTAGAAAATAAAAACACTTCAGATTAGAAGGCCTGACCTCAAAGTAACTTCAGTAACTTGACCCAAAGGATCATCATCCTTAATATTTTTAAAAAATTCATTTTAATTTGGAAAAAAAATTATAGCAAAACCTGTGGACGAGCTTGCTCCCCAGAGTGAGAGTAAATAAATAACATTTATTAACATTAATAAATTAACATCTTATTCATATATTTCAGATCTTCCTGGATTTCTTTTTTTTTTTTTTTCTTCACTAACCTATCTCTATAATAAGCCCCAAATGAGTAAAACTAAGATCCAAGGAGACTGCCTGCATTCAGCACAGATTGACTCTTAATAGATA